CACACACACACACACACACACACAACTTCCTAAAGGCCTGAGAAAGAAGACTGATTTTCTCAAAAGTATGTGGTTAACGGAATTCAAAACTAAATTTTTTGAACTATTCTATTTATCTAACTGACCAAAATTAATTTGTTTGTTTCATATTAAACTTTATAAAATAAACTGAGTTTTAACTTTAAAAAATTTGTTTCACTTAACATTCTGATCAGACTTACTCCCATTTGCCTTTACTAATTTTAATCTAATAGCTAAATATAAATCTATAAGCACATGTTCATCCCTCTCCTATTTAAAAAGCTTTGTATGTTTAAATGTGTACATCATTTCCCTGTACTAGATAATCATTACTGTCTGCCACAGTGAGGACTCAGTTTACATATACTGAAAGTTTCCTTGGGGTAGAGGGAAAAGTTGTATCAAACTAACAATTTGGTTAACTCCTTGCCATCAAACAAATCCAATGTTTTCAATAGATCTTTTTATTAGAAAATTCCTCCTTGAACAGTTATATTCCAAATATTCCTTATTCTGCCAAGGAATGATAAAAGAAATATCAATCCTTGGAAAACTAAAAAACCAAAACATATAAACCAAATGACCTCAGACTTAACACCTTTGAAGGACCCATTCTCAAATAACTGCAGATTTCCCATTTAACCACTTTCATTTCCTAATTTAGTGCCATCTTTTAAGTTCTTCATATCCCTCATGCTATGACACTAAATATATGTCCTATAGTAAAAAGCACAATATTAACTTGTGGCCAATTAAAGAGAAGCAACTCCATTCTAAATTATCCAAGCTCAAGGCACCTCTTTTTGCCCTTAATTTTTGCTGGCCTAAGCAAGACTAGTTTACAAGCAGGCCTGGTGCCTGAACACAGTAAAAGGCTGAGAAAATGACTGGGAAACCAAATCCCAGTTCATTCAGCCTAGAAGGCAGCGCCACTGTTCTGGGGTGTTCCTCTTATACACCTCTAGTGGGCAGGCATATTGGAAAGGGCTTGAACTCTGTGAGGATGGCTGCAAGTCATTTCAGAAAGACTGGATAGAATCCTCACTCCAATCAGGCAATATCACCAGTGGCTAGGTACTCTCCGATATATGGAGGCTGAGAAAAATCACCCACCACATCCTAACTTTGTCTCTAACTTTGTTCTAGATAGCCATCTATGTGTAGTAAATTGTATCATTTACTTATATTAAAAGAACCATCAGTTTTTTTGCCTCATCAGCTGTGGAGTCTTCTTGTCAATCACATCTTCGTCTCATTGTGGCAACTCTATAGATTATTGGTTATCTCATTAATCTATATGGCTACCAAAAAATGGCTGGAAAACAAAACATAAAAAATTAAAATCTGTCCATATTTCCTGCTACTCTGGAAAACTTAGAGGGTTCAGATTTTAAATTAGTAAATATTGTGATTAGATGGTTTAAAAATGTCTAATTTTTTAGCCACTCCTCCACTTGCATAGAGTTGGCATATTAACACAGAGGATATTTCTTTGGTGTCTAGGCAAAAATACAGATCAAACTGAATTCATATCTCAGTTCTGCCGCTGATAAGTTATGTCATCTTAACAAATAATCTTATCCATTTCATCCAATCTACCCAATGGAGAATAAAATATTAATTTCACAAAGTTACTACAGTACAAAAAAAAATATTGGTTAAAAAAGAAAATCATTCCACTTACTTATCATACTGTGATATCCTACCAGCTTTCTCATATCTTAACAACCACTTTATCTCCTCTCTAACCTCTTGAGATTCAGATGTCATCTGTTTAGGGTAGGGCTCCCCAGATGACTGCTATGCAGCAAGCATGGAGAGAACACTATTCCATGATTGCTCCATTTCCTTATATTCTCTTTTCTTTCCAGAATTTCTCTCTCTTTCCAGACTGTGCCCTGTTAGTAACCACCTGAAGTGTATCTCAGCAGCATCCTTAAATTCCCTGTAGCCCCATCCTTTAAAAACACTAATTCATTAAAACCCAAACCCTGCATATCAAGGCCATAATGCACTCTACTGCGCAGCAGAGTATGCTACCACAGGAAGGCCCATAAACCAGTATTAATTACATTACAATTTCTCAATTACCAATTTTAGCTGGACCCACTACATTTTTTTTCTCTCTTGAACAGCTCTTTTCACGCCCGTACTATGCCCCCCACCAAACTACTGTAAACCTTGAAGAAACAGTAAAAGTTATTAACTTTATTAAATTTCCACACGTGAATATATATTTTGTAGTATTCTACATGACAAAATGGAAAATATGCATAATGCACTTCCCCACATACCAAAGAACAATAATAATCTGAAAAAAAGTAGTTGCATGACTGAGCTGCAAGCTAAATAAACTACAAGGCTCTTTTCAAGAACACCGATTTTACTTGAAGAATAACTGACAGAAAACTAAGGTTACACAGATGGGTATTTGACAGACATTTTCTCAAAAATGAACCAAGTGAACCCGTCATTTCAAGACAAATAAAAGGCAGTATTTGTTGCCCATGATAGAACTGTATCTGTTACATGATCTTAACAACCCCCAATACTTGCAGTTCAATACTCTAATTTGTGAGGCAGCTCACAAACACAAAAAAAGTTAAATAATGCCATCATTCAAATAGGAGATAAACTATATTATGTTTGGAAATGTACAAGGCAACACTTGATTAACTATCCAAAGAACTGGACTGTCAAAAATTGCCTATATACAAATTATGAGGAAAAAGAGAAATTTACTTGGGCGACAGCTGTCAAGAATGGGTCTATCCAGAAATAAAATCTGAGTTGAGACTTTAAAAAATGGTAGGATTTAGACTGGTTTGAAAAAAAAAAAACAGTAAGCAAGGCATCCGAGGAAATTTGCAATATATATATATTTTTTTTCCTAAGAGAAACACTATCATCAGGTATATTTTTAACAATGTATTATGTATTCATTCAAACTCTCAGGTAATATTATCAGATCCTTAAAGGAAGGGGTCACATATTACAATTCTCTCCTCTCTGCTAGAGAAAGTAGCACAGGGTCAAATTTAACATATTGAACTATTTGGATAGAAAAATAAGATTTACACAGGGAAGAAGCAGAATGGTAATAATGGAAGTCCTAGGTTAAATCCCAGCTCTGGAACCTACCTAAGTTGCCTTGGGTAATTTAGTAACCCTCACGGACTGAAACACAAACTTGTCTACTTTGAGGATCACTCTACAAACATCCTAACTAAAATAACCACAGATAACTAATGATCAGAGAAGAAGTAAGACTCTGTGTTCCTGTTTTTGTTCTTGCTGACCTTGTTATTTTTCATTTTATTTTAAAACAATTGATGCTATTTTTATCTTTCATTTACCAAAAGGAATTTACATACACAAGGAAGATGGTACATATTGTATACGATTATATTACTCAAAGAATTCTATGCTGGGCACACTCCTGTAATCCCAGCACTTTGGGAAGCCACAGTGGGAGGATCGCTTGAGCCCAGGAGTTGGAGACTAGCCTGGGCAATGTAGCGACAACTTGTCTCTACTAACAGAAAATAGCCTGGGCAATGTAGCGACAACTTGTCTCTACTAACAGAAAATTAGTTGGGCATGATAGTGCATACCTATATCCCCAGCTACTCTGCAGGCTGAGGTGGGAAGATCACCTGAGCCCAGGAAGTTGAGGCTAGAGTGAGCCATGATCGCACTACTGCACTACAGGCAGGGTGACAGAGTAAGACCCTGTCTCAAAAGAATGAGAAAACAAAAACTCTCTTTAAAAATGCTCGCGAAGGCGAGGTCATCAGTTCAAGGCTAACCTGAGCAACCTCATAAGCTCAAACTGATTGGCAAAAAAATAAAAATAAATAAAATAAAAAAATAAAAATGTTTCAATACAACAGACAGATTTTTAAATGTTTTCCATATAATACACTATTACCTATATTATCAAAATTTAACCCACAATAGCATTATAATATCAGATGTGATTCCAATTTATTCATCTTCAGATAGCCTAAAATAATGCATTCTTCTTCTTCCTACTTACTTCAAATTCCTCCAGCCACCATGACACTATCTTCTCTTTTCTACACATACATACACTCTTCCCTTCATTTCTATATCCTTATTGAGGTAACTGCAGCCACTAGAGGGCAATAAGTATACAAAGATAAATGTACTTATCTATGATGATGAACTTATCTATATGATTCACAGAGTAATAAACCTAAAAAGTATATCATCACAAATCTTGAAACATAGGCAATTGGACTTGAATATGTAAGATATATATTTCAAACTCAAAAATTTTCCTGCAGCGATCACAGAAACATATAATGATGTTCAACAAAGGAATTCCATTTTCTGAATAAGGATTCATTAAAAAAAAAAAAGCCTAATTCCTTTACAGGTGCATAGCAATATTAGAAATTAGGATTGCTTAATATCATCCTCAGACCAAAGAGAAAGGGTAGAAAAAAAAAACCACACACACACACACACACACACACACACACACACACTGAGAGAGAGAGAGAGAGAGAGAGAGAGAGAGAGAGAGAGAGAGAGAGAGAGAGAGAGAGAGAGAGAGATATAGAGAGAGAGAGAGACAGGTATACATTACGGAGTGGGTAAGAACAGATTACTTCAAACTCTTCCACTATCACATCGAGAAGCAATAAACTGAAGAGCAAAGAGGATTTACCAACCCTTTCTTCTACTGAAAAGCAAGCAAAAACTTTACAGGTATATTTTTGGGGGTAGAACAGTGACTGTAGACATATACAGAGCCTTCACTTCTTTTCCCACAATTTAGAATGCAGAAGGAAGAGAAATTATCAGTTACTAATCTTTAAGAGATAATTTTAGCATTTTTAAAAAGAACAAATTTAAATAAACGTATTTAGTTTATATTTACTTACACTGACATTACAAAACTGCAACACTTATATAAGGCTAACATTTTTAGCAAATCATAATTTTCTTACCCTCATTGGATGTATATCAGCATAAGGAGGTTTTCCTTCAGCCATTTCTATAGAAGTAATGCCAAGGGACCAGATGTCAGCAACACAGTTATAGCCTATTTCTTGAATCACCTCAGGAGCCATCCAAAATGGAGTTCCTATTACAGTATTGCGTTTGGCCATCGTATCCTGCAATAATGTTACGTAGCCATAAATGCTACTACAAAAACACAAAGGAAATCTGTATGCCAAACATTCTTTAAGAAAAAGTCAAAACCTCCAATGCCACATATTGTATCAGAAATTGACTATATTTTGCTAAAATTTCAACCAGTTATGACATACTTAGGAATTCTGAATTCTGAAAACAACCAAGAATCCACAGGTAACTTATCTCTACTACCATCACTTAAATACAATCCTTAAAGATACTATAATGCTGAAAGCTACACAAATGAGCTGACTAGCTTCCCTTTTAGAACAGTAAAGCATTTTGATTACAAATTTTCATATTCAATTATCCTAAATTATAAATTAAATAATACTCGAATTTGGCTCGATTAGGGTTCCTTCTCCACAAAAACAAAAAAGTTACACATTTCTTTCCATTCCCCCTCAAAAAGTTATCAAAGTTTAGTTACAATCAAAGCTGAACAAATTAGCCAAGTGTTTAGAAAATTATTAAATTTAACTTACTGTTAGCTGTCCAGCCACTCCAAAATCTGCCAATTTTGCATGTCCTTCTGTATTGAGGAGAATATTTCCAGCTTTTATATCTCTGTGTATTTTTCTCATAAAGTGCAGATATTCTAGTCCTTTCAATGTAGATTTAAGAATGGTTGCAATTTCATCTTCTGTTAACTGGAAAGAAATATTTTTAAAACCATATTAAAATGCCATGTTAGATAAACTCTTACAAAAAAGCACTAGTAACAAGTATGTCGTGTGTGTGTGTGTGTGTGTGTGTGTGTAAGACACCCCACTCTGTTGCCCAGGCTACAGCACAGTTGGCGTGATGACAGCTCACTACAGCCTCATATTCCTGGGCTCAAGCCATACTCCCACCTCAGCTTCCCGAGTAGCTAGAACTACAGGCACACGCCACCCAAATAGGCTAAGTTATTTTTATTTCTGTAGAGACGTGGGCTTCGTTATGTTGCCTAGGCTGGTCTTGAACTCCTGGCTTCAAATAATTCTCCTTTCTCAGCCTCCCAAAGTGCTGGGATAATAGGTGTGACCCACCACGCCTAGCCACAAGTACTTCTTTCTAATGACCATTAAACCTCCAGGAAACCGCTAAAGGGATAAATAATCTAGAACTTCTTCTTTCCACAATATGCTTTCTTACTCTTATTAAACATTTTACTCATTAAAGGATGATTAAATTTCTCTCTTTAAGATTGTCAGTATTGGCAGGGTGTAGGAGGCCAAGGCGGGCAGATCACTTAAGGTCAGGAGTTCGAAACCAGCCTGGACAACATGGTGAAACCTCATCTCAACTAAAAATACAAAAATCAGCCAGGATGATGATGTGCATCTGTAATCCCATCTACTCAGGAGGCTGAGGCAGGACAGTCACTTGAACATGAAAGGCAGAGGTTGTGGTGAGCCAAGATTGCACCACTACAACTCCAGCCTGGATGACAGAGTGAGACTCCATCTAAAAAAAAAAAAAAAAAAAAAGAATTATCAGTATCAATCCTAAAGCAAAGGACATATCCGAAGAATCAGACTGATATAAGGAATCACTATTTCTCACATCTTCTAACACTGGCGGGAGGGGGCATTATCACAGCTAATTTCTGTTCTGAAAAAGTAAATTCACATACTTCCCCTGAGATATTTCAGATTCTTCATGAAAACGAAACCAACAGCTTTATATAAAGAAAAGTAAATGAGGGAGGGTGGCTTGCAATGAATCTTCTGCAAAAAGCTCCTATACCAGTGCCACTCCTAACCCTTCCAAGTCCTGGACTTCTGATCTAATACTAAGAACTCAAAAGTAAAAACGTCAGAGAAAGATTAGGAAAGTGGAAACACAAGCAAAGGCTATCAGAAGAGAAAAAGGGGGAGAGTAGAGAAGGCCGGGCCGGGCGCGGTGGCTCACGCCTGTAATCCCAGCACTTTGGGAGGCCAAGGCGGGTGGATCACGAGGTCAAGAGATCAGACCATCCTGGTCAACATGGTGAAACCCCATCTCTACTAAAAATCCAAAAAATTAGCTGGGCATGGTGGCGGGCGCCTGTAATCCCAGCTACTCAGGAGGCTGAGGCAGGAGAATTGCCTGAACCCAGGAGGCGGAGGTTGTGGTGAGCCGAGGTCACGCCATTGCACTCTGGCCTGGGTAACAAGAGCGAAACTCCGTCTCAAAAAAAAAAAAAAAAAAAAAAAAGAAGGCCAAGGAAGAAAGGGATGGGAAAGGAAATATTCTTAACAATTGAGCAATAGAGCCACTGCTAACCGTACCAGAAAATGTGCTAAGAGTTTCACATGCACTCTCATTTATTCTTATAACAATCTTGTAAGGCAGTGTGATATTATGAAATAATAGGAAATATTTGGTCTTTGCAGTTTCTTGGCACAAAAACTCCTAAGACCCTGTGAATTGATTGAGTGAGTAAGAAGCTGAATCAAGACATTTTATCTTTGTTTTCTCACCATTCTCACAAGAGTGAGAGGGACAGTCTTTTGTCATTTATAATAAGCTCCTTTCAACCATACCAGAATTTATACTGAGCAGGTGACTCTTGGTAGGAGCCTGCGTAGCTTCAGAATGGGAGCTGATTGCCAAAAAAACCAACCAAGTGATTAGAAGTTTGGAAATTTCACCTCAACCCCTGAATTATGGGAGGGCCGTGGGGAGACAGTGGGTAGAGCTTTAGCTAAGTACAAGTGTCCAAAAACTTAATCAATCATGCTTATATAATAGAACAAACCATAAAAACTCTAAAAGATAGGGATTGCCCTCATTATGCTTATATTCTATCTATAAGCAAAGGGATAATTTGGGAGAAAACAGGATAACACAGGAAAATGTCAGTGAAAATTGCTATGAGGACAATAATAGAGCACTACTGATAGAGAATGACTGAGAAGCTAATTTAGACTGACATTCAAGAAGGCCCAAAAGACATTTTACTGAAGTCTAAATGATATAAGGAAGCCAATCATGTGAATGGCTATCTGGGAACATACATTCCACAAAAATCTTTATTAAAAAAAAAAAGATTAAAATATCTTGATTCAACTTCTCAAGTTTTCTAAAACACTGAAGAAAAGAGAACACTTCCAAACTCATTTTAAGAGGCATTATCTGATACCAAAGCCACACAAAGTCACTACAAAACAATTACAGACCAAAATCCCTTATGAATATTGATATGAAAATCCTCAACAAATACAGCACGCCACTTCAACAGGATCTTAAAAGGTTGTTACACCATGACCAACTGGAATGTATTCCTGGAATGCAAGAATGATTTGCCATACAAAATCAAACAATGTAATACACCACCTTAACAGAATGGAGAAGAAACCACATGATCATTTCAAATGATAACAGAAAAAGCATTTGACTAAATTTAACATCTTTTCATAATAAAAACACACAACTAATAGGAATAGAAGAAAACTATCTCACCATAGTAAAAGCCACACACAAAAAACCTAATGTAAATGTCATACTCAAAATGTATGACTGAATTTTCCTCAAAGATCAGGAATAAATAATGTAAGGATGCTATTAGGTTGGTGCAAAAGTAATTGCAATTTTTGTCATTACTTTAAAAAAATGGCAAAAACTACAATTACTTTTGCACCAATCTAATACTTCTGTTCCACATAGTACTGGAGGTTCTACCAGTGCAATTAGGCAAGAAAAATAAATAAAGGCATCAAAACTGGAAAAAAAAGAAGTAAAATTATCTCTGTTCACAGATGATAATACATGTAGAAACTCTAAAGATTCCACAAAAAAAACCTATTAGAATTAATAAATAAATTCAACAAGTAGCAGTATACAAAATCAACCCAAGAAAATCAGTTACATTTTTATACATTACCAATGAGCAATCTGAAAAGGAAACTACAAAAAAAAAATTCTATTTACAATAGAATCAAAAGAATAAAATAGGAATTAACCAAGGATGTGAAATATCTGTGCAATGAAAACTACAAAACATTGTTGAAAAAAAGTTAAGATATTAATAAATAAAAACCTATCATATCTTCATAGATAAGAAAATTTGATGTGTTTAAGATGTCCATGCTACCAAAAGCAACCTACAGATTCAATGCAATCCTTATCAAAATCCCAATGATGGTATTGCAGAAATAGAAAAACGTATCCTAAAATTTATATGAAATCTCAAGGGGCCCCAAACAGCCAAAACAATATTGAAAATAGAAGAACAAAGCTATAGGTCTCATAGTTCCTGATTTCAAAACTTATTACAAAGCTATAATAATCAAAACAATGTGGTACTGCCATAAACACAGACATACAGATGGATGGAACAGAGTAGAAAACCCAGAAATAACCCTTGTATATATAATCAAATTATTTTCAACAAGAGCATCAAGAACATTCAATAGGAAGTAGTATTTTCACCAAATGGTGCTGGCACAACTGGATATTCATGTGCTAAAGATTAAGTTGAACCCTTACCTAACACCATATATAAAAATTAATTCAAAAGGGATCAAACATCTAAACATAAGACCTAAAACTATACCATTCCTGGGAAAAAAATAAAACAAGACCAAGGTCTCATGATATAGGATTTGTCAATGATTTCTCAGATATGACCAAAGAGGCACAAAGAACACAAGAAAAAAAAAACAAATTGGACTTGATAAAAAAATTTTTAAAATTGCACATCCAAACACAATATTAATAGAGTAAAAAGACAACCCATAGAATGAGAGAAAATATTTACAAATCACGTATCTCCTAAGATATTAATATACAGAATATATAAAGAACTCCTAAAACTTAACAATAAAAAAATCCAATTCAAAAAATGGGTAAAGGATTGTACAGACATTTTTCCAAAGATATACAAATGGCCAAGAGGCACATGAAAAGATTCTCAACATCATTAATCATAACAGAAATGTAAATCAAAAACACAATGAGATACTACAAAACACCCACTGTGATGGCTATTATCAAAAGACAGAAAAGAACAAATGTTGGCGAAGAAGTAAAGAAATTGGAACATTTGTGTACTGCTAATGGGAATGGAAAATGGTACAGCCTTTTTGGAAAACAGTATTAAGATTCCTTTAAAAGTTAAACACAGAATTACCTTTTGACCCAGTAATTCTACTTTTGGGTAAATACTCAAAAGAACTAAATGCAGGGTCTCAAAGAGGTATTCTTAAACAAGTTTCACCTCATCACGGGTTTATAACCATGTTCATAGCAGCATTATTCACAATGGCTAAAAAGTAGAAAGAACCCAAATGTCAACTGACAGACAAACGAGTAAGTAAAATGTGGTAGAAACATACAATGGAATTTCATTCAGCCTTAAAAAGGAAAGCAGTTCTGAAATATGCTACTACATGGCTGAACCTTGAGTACATTATGCTAAATGAAGTAAGCCAGTCACAAAAAAGACAACTAATGTATGATTCTGCTTATATGAAATACTTAGAGTAACCAAAATCATAGAGATAGACAATAGAACAGTGGCTGTCAGAGACTGAGGTAGCAGGGAATGGAAAGTTAGTGCTTAATTGGTACAGAGTTTCAGTCTTACAAGATGAAAAGACTTATGGATAATGGGGATGTTTATACAACCTTGTAAATGTATTTAATGCCACTGAACTGCACATTTAAAAATGGCTAAGATGGG